TGCTACTGCTTAGGCTACCAGGTGGTCAAAGAATCAAACGTCCAATGTGACACAAAAAGGATGATTCATGTATTGAGTTGAATGTAGAATCTGTCTCGTGTTTATTTATGTAGTTTAAAATATGTTTAACAACTTGCAAATACACCAGACTGCAGGAAACAGCACCTACTTCATTCAAAATTTTCTCGGGGAGAACTCCAGATCCCCCTCCCACATTACAGCAGTAAGGATAAATATAACAGTAGCACTTATGTGAAAGAAATAATAACTGTAAAATCAAAAAGAAAAGGTGGGACTGAGAAGGTGAGGAGTATAAGCAACATTTACATTTAATAAATATCCAGGTGCCATCCAGAAGCTATTTTTAAAGAAAACAAAGTTTTTTTTAGGCTTGCAGATTAAATTTGTTCAGTATGCACTCAATTTATTTTTTGACTAAACTACAATGATTTATTGTCCTGATTTCATTTTCAACTTTGCCTATTTTAATTTACATTTTATTATAGTCATTTTATCTAATATTTCCTTTTATATGCATCATTTCACCTGGCTCCCTGATTTGTTCTTGTTTACAATAAAGCTTTTGTTAAAAAAGGACACTCAACAGTCAGATTCAGTGCTTTTTAACTTTWTTATGAACAAAGGAATGTGCAGTTTGTTGAATACAGAGAACATTGTGAGCTGAGCAGGATGTTGGGTGAGTACGATAATTTTCCTCATAATACATAATTCAACATTTCCCATCTGGCAACACTTTCTCGTGGGTTTCATGCTGAATAAATACCGGTGGAGGAAGTAACTATTTCACAGTTCTTATTTGACGCATTTAAATCTACAGTCAACCGATCATAATCTGACTTCTTTACGGTCCGACTACCCTGGCTGACGTGATATAAAGCTTCCTTGTCTGCCAATCATTRATTTATTACTTTTGACATCTTGGGAAGCCCCGCACGAGGCAGGGCATCAAAAAATTAGTTAAAACTCATGTTGTTCCTCTCCACGGAAATCTTTAGTAAAAGGCGAAAGATTTATACGATCTGAAGAGAAACATGAGTGCTGACTTGTGAACCTGAAGTCAGGGTAAGTGATTCCTGGACATGTACTTCACAGTGACGGTGACGCTGATTGAATACAAAATTGGTGACGTTTAAATGTGTTTAAAACGATACTGTTACAAAAATAAACATAAGCAATGTATGAATTATTACAAATTGGTAAAAAAAATATAACATTATTTCAACAAAAGTTTAGAACATGACGCGCAAGGCATGATGGGTAAAGTTTCGCCAGCACGGTAAAATAGCGCTAAAAATTGTTTTTCTACCTCTTTTAACAAAATTAACGAGACATGATTGCTCATTTATTTAATAACATCGCAATTCAAACAAATAAACACGAAAATGTTTGAGTGAAAAGGGATAAAATCATTATATTGGCTTGTAAAGTTGACGCATGCGCTGTAGTACATCTGTTCAGGCACACGCAGCTCGTGGCGGTGGTCACGCGCTTCTATTACTCTGACAAAGCGTTTAGATGTAACAACATAAACAAATATTTTTTCCTGTTCTTTTAAGTTTATCAAACAAACAAACAATCACTAGTTAAAAGGAGAAAGATGATACTTAAAATTGGCAGAAGCAAAAGGCTGCCTAAAGCTAATAAGTGGCAAAGAACTAGAAGCTGAAAGGAACCAAAGGATAGCTATAACTAGAAAGAAAATCTAAACACAACAAAAAAGCCAGCTGAAAATATAAAAACATTACCTAAAAGCAAACAGCACAAGGTTAGCTAGAAGCAGAATGACAGCAAAAAACACTGAAAGTAGCAGAACAGCTTCTAAAGCTAAAGCAAAACAGTAGCTAAAAGCTAGAATTAGCTGAATTATATTTAAAACTGTAAGATCAACTACATTTAATTTGCAATATTTTAATGGGAAAACTGTTTTTAATAAATTTAAGAAATTAAAAATGTGAAAAATGTTTGCATTTCCTGTTCGATTAAGGGCTTAAAAAAGCTTAAAAGCACAAAATATATCAGAATTCACACAGAAAATATTGTTGCCTTTATTTCTTTTACGTTTCCACAAATGCAACATTTAAATATGACAAAATCAAGTATTACAAATACAAGTGAACAAAACACAATAAACATAGAACTAGAAAATATCACYCACTTCAAACTGGCAGGAAATTCTGTGCAAATTGTATCTGTAAAATCATTTGAAGTGCAGGTTTCATGCAGAATCAGTGGCACTCTGGATTTATTTCAGCCTTTTTTCGTTTTATCAGTGGTATTAGACATAAAAAGTGTAGATCTGTTGTGTTCTTGTGGTTTACAGTTTGTAAATCTGAAAGGCTCCTAAAGCAGAAACACTCCATTTCTGTTTGTTTGTTTTAAAAAGCAACCTTCCTGCTGTTAACTTGGTCCACAAACACCAGAAGGACTGATTGGTTTCATGTTAGCATTTGGTCTTTGATTTACATATAAATATAATCTGAGTTTTACTAGAAAAATAAGGCATAAATCAGTTTTTAGGAAATGTCTTTTTAAGTGTAACCGCACAGCAAACCAGGAAAAGTTTGTGCACCGAGGCTGCAGAGTAAACACACAGCAGCTGCCTGCTTGTTTTTAAGAAATGTAGATATAAAAACTATGATCCCAAAGTGTCTTTGTGCAGCTTTCTCTTCAGTTCAGATGGCCTTGACGTCGATGAGGTGACCGTGCTGGGCTCCCTGCCGTTGGCTCTTGATCCCCTGCAGCTTTCGGCCYTGGAGGGTGAACCGAGACCAGGCGGCCAGCTGGAGCAGGGCGCAGGTGATCGGCACGAAAACCAACATGTAGAAACAACCCAGGCGGAGGGGAGGAGTCGTCCCTGAGCTGGAGGCAGTGTCYGACGCCACAACCGAGTCCTTCTCCCTCTGAAAGATATCATAACCTGAGGACGGAAGAAAAAGATGATTGGAACAGTGTCACAAGACAAAAGTTTGTTTGCTCGACCCAGCGATGAACAGGAGCGGTATCCGCACCGGTGTAAACACAGAGCAGCCAGGTGCCGATGAGRGGGGCGAACGTCTGGCCCGGTTTGGTCAACAGGGCCACCATTCCGAAGAGGAGAGCAGAGGCGGCCTGCTGGCGCCGGTTCACCACGAAGTCCTCGTCCACCAGGTCCGAAACCACCAGCTTCAGCAGCTTACAGGTGCCCTCTGTGAACACCCGGTTACTGGAAACAGAAAGACGGCAAGTTCCAAATCAAAGAGTTGCAACACGACAGCAAACGAACAGAGAGAAAGCCACCGCACCTCGCGATGAAGACGCACAGCAGGTAAACGTGGTCAGCCCCGGCCAGCAGCATGACCACGCTGAGCCCCAGCTTGAGCAGGAACAGCCAGCGGATGACACGGTAAACACCGTAACGTTGGCACAGCGTCAGGAAATACAGGTTGTTCAGGTGCGGGGCCACGTAAGAAATCCCTGCAGGGGAAAAAAAACACCACTAATAACAGTAATAATAATAAAAAAAAAACGTTTTGTGTTCCGTCGTTTGGACTCTTACCCAGTAAGACTGAACCGGCAGAGGCGGAGATTTTATCAGACAAGAGATGTTCGAGGAAGAGAGGAAAGAAGTTGCTGTTGAAGTGGCAGTGAAACACCTGCAGAGACAATATGTGAGCCGTCACAAAGAAACCACGATCAACTCTAAAAGTTTTACGTGGAGAAATAGGCAGATATAGTGTTTCGATTAAAAAAATTACATTTTGTCAAAATATAACAAATAAATATGTTCATATATCATTCCAATGAAKTGTCTTAAATATCCTAAAAAAACTTTGAAGCACTTTTTTGAGCATTAGCAACCAAAAACCTGATTTTGAGGAAAAACGCCTTCAAATGTTGAGATTTTCCCTGTGAGCTATCAAAGCTTTTGTTTCTTTCCAGCTGGAAAATCTCAATATTCAATTACTATTTGAGGTTTCTTTTTTCAAATGACATAAAAATCCTCATTAAAATGATATAAAATAGGATTTTAGATCAAATATTAAATAATATATCTGGATCTACTAATGATATCAGATCTAAGTATCAAAATGTAGCTTTTAAAGCCAAGAATCTGAAAATATAATTAGGTCATTTTGAACAAATTTGAATTAATCCTCATTTTGATGTGATGGGTCACATATAATCTAAAAGAAGTATACTTTAAAATACAAGAAATATATAGTTTACTAAAAAAACATAGTTCAAAAGTTTCTGGCAGCTGCAGAATTATGCTGAACAAAATCTGTTTTGCTGCAGTAAAAAATGCAGTTTCTTAAACTCTTGTTAACATGTTAATTTTTACCCTATAGTTTTAATATTTTATTTTGTTCAATATTACTTTATTTTTAAATACATTTAATAATAATAATAATAACTTCATTTTATTTTATTTGAATATTCAACACTGAGACGCTTTTCTTGCTACTTCACCATAAGCTGTGAGCTGTAGATGGAAGAATTTAAAATAAAACAGTAAAATGTTAGAATAACTCAATGCTCTTAAACACATTCTCACCAACTGTTCTCAAAAACTACAGATTTTGAACCTCTTAACCCCCATGTTTTCAAAGTAAGAGCCCAAGATTGAGAGTTTTTGTATTTCAATAATAATGATATTATATTATTAAGAAACAGATGTAAAAACAAAATAACCTCATCTTTTTAAAAAACAGCCTTACTTGAATTAAGTTCATTGACACAAACCACAGGAAGTTCCTGTGTTTGGACAGCTGCTTCAGATATTGTCCGATAGTGACGGGTTTCTCTGGGTGGGTGAACGGAGCGTGACCGACGCTCAGCCTGAGACGGGACAAATAAAACCAGACCAGTGAGAAGGTAAACAATCACACTTGTGAGTTATTTTTCCAACATCTTACTCTTTTAGAGCAGACGCCTCGTCTTGCTTCGGACGGATTTCCTTGTTGAAGCGACGCTGCAGCAGCCGAGACACCCAGAAGAAACCCAGGATGGAAAACGCCGCCAGAGTCACGCAGAAGAGGCGGAACGAGTAGAAGTCCTCTTTGTCCCAGACCGAGTAGGAGAGGAAAACGGAGAGGGAGCCCAGGGCGCTGAACAGCGAGCAGTGGAAGTTGAGGCGCGTGCGGTCGGCGGCGGACACGGCCAGGTCCGCCATCAGGGCGCTGTGATGGAGGTCCACCATGGTGAGGAAGCCGTCGTACAGGCACAGGCAGAGCAGGAACTGCAGGCCAGGGCTGGCCCACGCCACCCAGAAGGCCAGGAAGGACAGCGCGAACAGAGGGCCATTTGTGGAGAGGGCCTTCAGGCGCTTCAGCACCACCTCTGGAGACGTGATCTGGGAGCCRGACCTGCCAGGAAACCAAGCTCAGTCAGGTTTTTATCAATAAAATCAAATATTAAAACCAATTTTCAACACTATGCAAAACAAAAGRGATGAAACGGTGCAGATGTGACCTTTTTACATAAAATCAAAAACTTTTTACTTCCACCACCCTGAAAATATTTGCCTCGTTACAGAAACACAAACAGAGGCGAGTCTCCTGTTTGACCACAAAGTRGTCAAACCTGGCCGTGTTGTTTTTGCTGCAGCTGATAAGACGTCTGAAAGTGCAAACTGAAAACTTTTGTCAACAGACGGAAAAGTTAGGCCGACCAAAACGTCACGAGGGATCAGAGGCAACGAAAAAAAGTCTCACTAAAGTTCGTTCGTCAGATGCTACTATCTAAACAGTTAAAAATGAAAATTATTTGCTTTGGTTAAACATTTCGATGTRATTAAATCAACATTCATGCCTTTTATTCATCAGTTCATAAACAGGCAGACGGAGTCTTTTTAACATGAGGAAAATTACACTCCTGATTAAATTTACAAGTAAAATCATTTTTATTTCACTCTTTTCACAAATCATATTTATGTTTACAAGATACAGTGTTTACATGTGACTGTTATTTTTATTTTATAATGTTCTTTGTTGAAGTTTTATCCTGTATTTTATTATATAATTATTTTATTTTTGTCCTTTTAATGCTGTGGGAGCTTTGAAATTTTAGACTGCATGACTTTTTTTTCCACTCCAAAAATTATTTTTATGTTTTTCCCTCCATAGTTCAGTTCTGGACCTAAAAAAAACGCAGCTTGTAAATAATGTAAAGGGCCAATTTTATGTGTTTCTCAAGCATATAGTTCAATTCTATACCATAATAAAGTAACTATGTCACCTTCAGTTGTTATTAAAATGCTGTTTATATCTATAAATCAAAAATAAATTTGACTTTGCATCACAGCTGTTTCTAAACACCTTGAAATTGGCCTCTGTCTCTTTAAGAACCTCCTACCGCTTCTGTCACGCCCATTTACACAGCCGTTTACAACCTGGAGTGTTATAGCGTACTTTGCTTTATTAATAAGAAAAAATCAGCAACATTATACGATATCTGTTTCCAAAAATGGCAACTCAGGACACAATAAAACCTTACCCTCAGACTGGAAAGTACATTTCCCGAAGAACCGGAGCGAGTACAGAGATGTTTCAGCTTGTTATATATCTCCTAGTCAGCTTCACAATGTTAAACTGATTTATTTGTTACTAAAATGTGATGTAAGCCAGCTAAAGAACACACAGATTGTAATATAAGTTATATCCCTTCGCTGTTCAGATTCTATTGACTCTTTTAAAAATCATCTTAAGACATTTTTATTCAGACAGGCTTTTAGTTAAGTGCTTTTTATTGTTGTTTTTTATATCTGTGATCTGTTTTATTGTTTTAAATTATTTTTGCTTTCTGTGAAGCACTTTGTGATGTGTGTGTCTGTGAAAGGTGCTATAGAAATAAAGTCTACTTACTTACTTACTTATGAATTATAACTGTAGATCACAGAAAGACTGAATAACCAAACAAAACAACGTGAGTTTTTCAGCTTATCTGGGCAGACAACAGGGGTGTTAGTGTAATTCTGTGTTGGAATTGCATCGTCTTTTAATGATAATCTTATATTAGTCCACTGTTAAATTCCCTTATGTTCATAAAACTATCATATGTAAAGTGGCTCGTACAAATATATATAAAAATAAAAATTCCATCAGAGGGTTACTTCCAAAAATAAAGTTTTGTTCTCATGAATGGCTGCCCCGGAACAGTACAGGATTTCACAAACGTATGAATGAGTCAAAGCAACACTCTGTATGTTTCTGATGA